TGTACCAGCATGTATCGGTGTGTATAGACTATAGCGCTAGATTTGAATAAATCCTCCTGGTAAAGTAACACTCTTCTTCTTCGGTAAAACCCAAAAGCGCTAATCGTCGATTTTTTTTTTTTTTTTGAATTTTTCGATAGACCAAAAGCGCAAATCTATTTTGCGCTATCGTACCTTAGTAGTGGGATGCAAAAATAAATATTGTACCCGTTACACTATAAATTTCATTTTAAAATCATTAATTATTTAACTAACTAAACTGTTTATTTTAATTAAATATACAGTACCTAATTTTAAAACTCAAAAATACATCAACAGTGATCGAGTTCAGTTGAAGTTTGGTAAATTATCGTATCGTATTTAATCGTAACGAATTACGGTGAAGGTTGATAATCATTAATCATTTAAGATCGCTGTAGGTATATACACAATATATTCAGTATAAACTTACATCTATTTATAAAATACACTTTATTGTCTTTATTTTTGTAAAATTTATTTGCGCTTATGGTTTGTTAAAAAGGTATTTATTTTTTTTTGCACTTTTGGGTTGAGTTTGAGTCATATTTTGCGCTTATGGGCTGAAGCCCTATTTTTTACACCTATTTGCTATTTGCCTATATTTTAAACGGGAAATGGCTATTTTAGAAATCGTTTTTGAGAAAAAAAAATGACTCGTCGCACACCGCCGGTCATCGGCGAATCTACTGAAATAGCGTATGTACTACAGCCTATAATTCTGAACGGGCCTAACTTTTGAAATCCAAGCCCGTCCAAAATATAATTATAATAATGATACCCGGACCGGCCCGATTTTTTATGATAATTTTGCCATCACGTAAGTCCTGTCTCACCTCATCACACAACTGTCGTATCTAATAAATATATATTAAAATAAAGCTTCAATGTTAGTTACTTATTGGATACTTCAAAATTACCAGTTCTAAAAACTCGACATTTGACCATTTTTTTACTAAAATTATGAAGAGTTATACTGCAGACTTAAAATAATTGTACATAACAATTAACAATTAAACATATTTTAATAAACAAAATAATTAGATTATTACCTATGTCTAAAACATAAATAATATTTTTAATTATTTTCTTTAAACTACAAAAATGCAATATCTAATTTTCTAGATTTTGTCATCAATTAATTTACCTACAACTCTTTCGACTCATTCTTCATTATGATATTTTAAATACTGGATAAGACCCTGTTCGCCTAAAAATGACGTTTTACTTTTCATCCACGTCTGTGTTTGCCTAAATATTTTAAAACTGCTTTATCTTTTCATCAAAGAATATTATTGCATTTTTTTCTCACGGTTTCATAATAAATACTGTAGGAAACATTTAGGAAAATAGGAAAATACAAAGTACGAATACAATCGTATGTAATGTGTATAAAATTATTCTATAAAATGAAATAATAATTGTATTGTCTTATTAACATTTGACAACTGGACAACTTAAGTGCAATTTCATTTACTTTCGAAATCACAATGTAATTTTACTATTCTATGTAATACGCTGCAATACAACTAATATTATCTAATAACTATAATTATATATTTATTTATTTTTCATCGTTTTCTATTTTTTTTTTTAATATTTTTTATTTTTAACTTAAAATATTCTTAACACGAACAATTTTTGAAGTGCAATGAAAGCTGCTTCCTCTTGATACTCTCTGGGTAATGCTAAATAGTCTTATAAAAGTAACTTATACCAATAAATAATTTAAAGTACCTAGCTGAGTTTTCCAAAGTTTTGACCGTACAAATGTGGGAAAAAAAGTACATTAATATTCTTGAGGAAAAAAGAATAGCACTTTTAAAATATTTGGGCAAAAAGTAATACCTATGAACGAAAAGCGAAATGGTCGTTGTGGGCGAAAAAAATCCCACATTAAATATGATGAGTCAATGATGACTTAGTTGTCATGAAAAAAGAGGGTAAACTCATCAACCTCTTTCCTACCACTGATACTGGCAAATATTTGACATTGATATAATGTGTTATACGTCGGGTAAAAAAAAAATCATTTTCTGTCCGCACTATGCCTAAACGGATAAACGACAATTGAAAATTAAACTTTCAGTGTAGGTTTAACAAAAAATGATTTTAAGTACCTACTCACTACACAGTTTTCGAGCGTTCATTAAAGCGTTGAATAGTAATTACTAATTAGTACATGCCTAAGTAGTAATTAGTACTTGCACACCACAAGCTCTAAAATGGTTGACTATACACCACGCGTCATTACGTTTCAATGGCCGGCGGATGGTGATGAATTCTCCTGATTTTTAAGACTGTCAAGTCCTTGTTATACGTGGTAAATACATGATATATAACGAGTAAAACGTGGTCCATCTCTGGTACAGTGTATCGGTGATAGATTAATACCAAACGGGAGAATACAAGATGATTCTGATGGTAATATTATTACGGGCAAGACGCTCGGCTACACCGAATACCTACAATTCAAACAGATCAACCTGATGACTGACAGCAATACACGAAACAGGTGATTAAACGAGACTCGGTACAAGAGTATTTAGCAGGTCGAATTTACTTGATGGTATTCCGTGATAATTCTGAATAAATGTAACACGATGCACGCGTCTATGATGTATAATTATTATTTAATAATAATAATAAAATAGAAATACATAAATGGTGTTTCATACCATATTATATTCTCGTCGTGGTAAACTCTCCCGAGTAAACGTTATGTTTACCTCTTCACCCGAGAGAAGTGTGTGAACTTTCCAGAGTGTCTCAATTTTTTTTTTTCTAATTTGAACGTAGGTACCTACATATTATTATAAAAATAAAATTAAAATATTGTATATTCTATCAAGTGACGAGCGACGAGTGTATTGATTTACACTGAATAATGATTATCTAGTATTGGTTTATGTGTGTGTGTGTCTATGCGTCTGTCATCACTCATCACCTTTTGGTGCAAGTACTTTATACTTTATAGCAACAACTTTATAAATGTTTAAATAATATGTATAACTAAAATACACAGATATTACTTATAATATAATGTGGCGCCGGAATGTTTTGGCTTACTACTCAGTTGAATCCTCAGATACTCTTCACAAAAAAATAATGATAATATTATGTAGACTGTGTAGGTACCCTTGTTAGAAATTGGTACATTAAGGCCCAATCATGACTAGATAGCAAGAATTTTTCTTATGTCATACAAGTAATTTAAATAATAAAAATATATACAATTAATACTGTTTTTGATAACCTTGTACATTTATTATCAGTATTTACATGCCTATTGGTAACTATTCACTATTATTGAGATTAGCACAAAATTTAACTATGATTAAAATTTACAATAAATTATCATAGATCTTATTTATATGATAGGAAATAGAATACATTTCAGACATAAAGTTAGTATTTCAAATTGAAAAGGACTTATTTTTTCAGACATTTGTGTATCATAACTATAGCTAATGACAAATTCCAAGCATTGATTAGTTCTTAAATATTATAAAATAAGTATAAAATATAGGTACTAATAAGTATATTAGTTTTAAAACACAATTTGCAGTTTAAGTTTAAGTTTTTGTTTTTAGTAATTGACATACTCTATAAAAAGTTTTTATTTGTCGTTTTTTTGTATAGTAATCTTTAAAATGTTAGTCAACAATTTTTATGAGCACTTAAAATATGAATTATGTCGCGGTCATTTATATTTTTGATTTAGAAAAAATTTGTAATAAGACCTGAAAAAATAATATATTATTAGTTAAAAATATAAAAAAGTCACATTTAAATAATTAAAAAATATTTATGTAAAAAAATATTGCTATATCTTTAAAAATACAAAAATGTACAATAAAAACATAAACTATACATTATATATATATATATATCAGTCAAAACATAATGTTAGAGTATTAATATTTAATATATAATATAAATATCAATATATATACCAACGAATAATAAATATAAATATATGTAAATGCATATTTATACTAAGTCTTAGTTAATATAATTTTTTAGTTATTTTAATTTATTAGTAAAAATATTCATGTTAATCAACATAAAGTTACAAATATTATATTTTTGATTTTATCCTGTATAGGTTAGTTTTCTTTACCCTAATAGTTAAGATATTTTTTGAAAAAAAAAATCATCACAAATTTTTTATTAACAAGTTAAAGGTGCAATCTATAAGTCTACTGACAAATATAATATTATAAAAAAGTTAAACTAATTGAGTCTTGTTTAATTGTAAAAGATTTTAAAATAAAACCATCTGACTATTTGATCAAGGTGTCTACTATGTTTAAATTTCCTTAATTTTAAATTTAGTAGTCACATTTGTAAAAATGTAAAGAATCAAATAAAAATCAACTAATTTATAGGAAAATTAAATATTATAAAAATAATAATTTATAAACAAGACAAATATAATATATATTATTTAAATTATTTTGTAGAACATATTATAATAGTACATAATAACACAAGTTAGTACAGATCAATATAATCCTCTGTTAGATAATATTAGTATTTTATAAAAACTTAAAAATTAGCCAAAGCATTCCTTAAATGCCAGTGCTAAAACATTTTATTTTTTTAAACAAGCAACTAATGAATCTATATATCTATACAAATAGGGGTAACGATCCAATACACGATCTACAAATGTTAGTCGACCTACCAATAAGATAGCATTTATCTAAGGCAAGGATGGGTAACTCAATGTTACTAAAAGGCCAACTTTTTAAAAGTGAAAAGTTTTAAAACATTACACTAAACGCGATTATAACAGAACCAAAGCAATTAAACAGTATGACATGACGGATATGACTAAACTAATAATTTATTAAGTATGATAGCTATGTCCCTATAAATAATATAATATTAGGACATTAAATTAATAGTTCAATACTAGATAAAAATTTATAACTACGCTTTACAAAAAACATTATACTGATTTTATAAATATAATAAAATTAAATAAAATAGGTACTAAAAAATGCTAACATTTTATATTTTTATTAAGTAATTTTAAATGTAATATAGGTCAGATATAAATGGTACGCGGGCCACCAGTTGCCCATTCCTAATCTATGGGTTTCTTTTATAGAAACAAATGTTAGTCGATATTTTGTTCCATTAAATTAAGCTGTAAATTGGAGTGATAGAATCAAAAACACCATCGTTGATTGGTATAATCTTAGATAAGATATTTTTTTTCAAAATTAATTCTATTGTACTGTCAAAATCAGTGGCACCCATTCAAATAAATTTAAGAAAAGCAAAATCAAAACGTTTTGGTAAATTGATCAGAAAATAATATATTGTCTACCTCTATAACTAAGAACTTTAATTATTTATTTAATTATTTAGTATAGGTATTATGTAATGTAAAAAAAAATACATATACAAATAAAACCTCCCACCTCTTTATTATATGAAGCGATCGCTTCAATTCATGTACAGGTTTGGCGCCACTAGTCAAAATTGACGAATCTTTTTTTCTAGGTAAAAGGAAGTATAACTGTGGTCATTACAATGTGGGGACCATCAGCTATAAAAACAATATATATTTTCAATCATGAAAATTCAAATTAAAATGAAACAGTAAAAAAAAATTTAAAAAAAAAAAATGTGATGAAGATCATGTTAAAATCCCAGAACCATTATTGATGTAACAATAACTTTTGGCCAAAATACATTTCACAACAACTGACTGAAATATAGTTGTAAACAACATTAAGAAGTGTAATGAAAAAATTATAAACTAATTTACAGGTTGGTTACATTAATTTTTATTTTACATTTATGATGTAAGTCGTTGGACCAAAAATCAAAGTGTAGATCGCGTATTGGACCGTTTCCCAAATAGGGTGATATCTGTTTAGTATATTATTAATGGGTTATGTTTGAACATTTTAAAAATGTATAAAAACAATAATATTTTAATTTAAATTAATTAATATTTATTTATATTTTCTAAAATTGTATCAAATTCACCCAAAGAATATGTAATCAAGATGCTATAATGAAAGACAAAAAATAATAAATAATTACCATTGTTATCATGTTTTTGTATGTTCTACAACCTACAATGTAATAAATAATTATGAGAGCAAAAAATACTAATAAGGTAGTAATAAAATAAATAAGAGAATCAGAAAAATTACAGTTAATACATTTAGCTGATTATGGTATAAACCAATTTACTGCTACCGTTCAGGACAATACAACTGTATTCTGATCATTTTGACTTTCTGTTCTTTTAAACATAGCCATGATTCTAGGGCACCGGGGGCACATTGGTACTTTTCTTGAATCATAACACTTCTTGTGGTAACATGACCCACAGTCCACACATCTCGTAACGAATCTGAAGTCCCAAGGAAAAAGTATTTTATTGTTGTTGCATATTTCACAAACAAACCCTCTTGCTTGGCACAACTATAAATAATAGTAAAAAGCGTTAACAAACACTTTTGTAAAAAATATTTGCTTTTTTTACCTGACAATTTATAATGTGTTTATTACAGGTAACAATTAAGTTTTGTAACTTTTTACCGAGCTCTCCATTTTTGACATCCACCAAATTTTGGATTGAATACAAGTCCGGTTTAAGTATTATATGGGCGTCTATAATTTCCAATAACTCTTTTAATCTATTTAAATATTAATGTAAAAATTAAAAAATTGTATTCCTTGCATAAGCACTAAAGTAAAAAGCTTAATACTTTAATAATAAAAACCTGAAAACGACTTTAGTATAAATTTATATCAACCTGTCAGCATATCTGCATAAGAATATGAAGTCTTTAATGTAATGCAATTGCATCCGGTACATTCGAACTTTGTCTAGGCCTCGGGCGCGCTTATACAAAACGCTATTCAAGTCGGTTATGTTGAACAGTGGATCGAATAGCATTTTTTCAAGAAGATTGAATGAAAAACACGACACCGGATACCTAAACAAATAGTACACGTTTTACAATATTATAAACGCATTTGTAGCACTCGTGTGACGTACTTCGAAAAATCCCATTTTTCGATTATCCGACCCGGTATGATGGAAGTTTTATTTACATGACACCCTGTGCAAAAATACCGACCCAAATAAAAACAATAACGGAACTTCGAAGCGTACTTTACTGCCACTTTCATACTACAGCCCGCACATCTATAACCTTGTAATTCCATTATGTTTTTCCTACTGTAAACATAAAAAACAATACTTAATAAGCTGCTGATTAACTCACATTTTTTCACAACAATATAAAAATAAAATATTGTTGAATTGTGTAAAGACAATTTAATACTTATCATTGAAACAATAATATAATATTGAAACGCTTTTGATTAATATAATATTATAATGTATAACGTACTGTAATAATAATTTAAAAAAAATATGTACCTACACATTTTTAGCGGGTGATAAATAGTGTAAGAGACTGCATGTTGAAAAGACATTTGACGAAATGAAAATTATTTTTAACTAGATGTCGAATTTATATGATTCTACATATTGGTTTCTAGCGTGTACAGTTAAACAGGAGTAAGATATATTAACGATTCATGAAACACAAAATTCATAGAAATATATTGTAATTTTATTTTGTATAAAAAAGCGTATTTTAAGAGTTAGAGAATATTTCATACATTGGAGAATAAAAATAACATTTTTATTTTTGTAAATGGTTTTCCGAAGGAAAAAAAAATTATTCTATTACCTACATATTATTTTTGTGTACCATCTATAAACCAATTAAATTTTATTGTAGGTAAAATAAAATAAATGTAAACTGTTATTTCAAAACAAATTAATTAAATACATTTTAACTGAATAATTTTAATACTTTTTTTTATTTTCACAGAATATTAAAAGAAGATTTTGAATTTATATGAGTATAAAACATTATATATCTGATTGTTTTGATATTTTAAAAGAATATTTAGAGAATTTATTATTTATTTTTAATAACAAAAACATGTTTAAAGTGTTTTAAGAGAATATAAATCCGATCTCAATTTATAACAGACACAAAACACAAAATACAGAAATTAAATGAATTAATATTTTTTCAAAACCATTTTACTTTGCTTACATTGGCGACGGATGACTAGTGAATATTATTTGCGGTCGTGGTGGCGCCCAATCACTAGTGCCTCGCAAACGAGACGAAGCATCTGAACGATCATCGGTGGGCTCATACGGGTTGACGGGCCAGCTCGATGGCAAAGGTAAGATCTGCAATTTCCAAACACAAAATATTATGTATAATTCAAATTCTAATAAATTTAACTTTGTTCTAAAGTCACTTCACGACTTCACCTTTGCACCAGTAATTTTTTTATGAATCATAAGATATGATAATTTAAATTGTTTAAATTTATAATTTGGTGAGAATATATATAGGTATTCGGTTTTGCGTATAAGCATTTGAGTAATTAATTCTGAATATTTCAAAACAATTAATTATTATAATAATTATAATTAATATTTATAGTACAAATTACAAAATATTTGTAAAAGGCGAATGATGTGGGTGGGTTCATAGAAATATCCTCAGTTAACTAGAAAACACCCTTTATTTCAAGCATATAAGCTTCACCGATGTGTGCAGAGTTGCAGTGTTAATAAATTATAATTTATAAGTGACAACGTACCTGTTGTGGGACATCATTTTCTGATATTAGCCACTGGACATTGACGTTAACGGGCCAATTGTTCTTTTGGCTGATCTGACGGATCAATGACCGCGCAACGCTTTCTGCAGTGACCGTCGAACACACGCTGGCTGATCGCGTTCGGTCTATATTAGAGTACGACGATGAGCCAGCCGACGAACTGCATACAGAGAACATAGATGAACAGATGCTGTCATCGTCTAACTCGAAATCGTCCATATCGTCCGCGGTGGACACGCTAGATGTGGTTGAGCAGTAAGAAGACGTCAGGGAACTCATCGTAGCTAGAAAAAAATTGTATAAAAACAAAATTTTTCGATAATTTACAAAGTACGAAACAATAAGTCTAAAATGCACGCGCATTTACAACAAAGGAAAAAAGGCATATCGATTGCCACCGCTTGCATCTGCAGTGGCATAATTTTGAAGAGATCCGAGGGAGACCGTTAACATGACGTAAACTTAATTTAAACTAAAAACTAATAAGAAAAGCCCATTCTCCGGGTGTGATGCTATGATTTGCTGGGTTTCTATACATTTTTTAAAATAATTACTCTAAATTGAATTTAATAGATATTAAATTAAAGAGGTTTAATCATTATTAATATAATGTCATACTTATTTTTTATAAAAATAAATCATCACAATTTTTAATAGAATTAAAAATGTAAAAGTTAATTATTATTAAATAATAAAACATTTTCAAATGACGTAAAAATATTATTTGGAACAAATTAGCTTTAAAAAAATTATCTTTTTGTTGAGCTGTTATTATAACTCAAGAGTAATATAAAAGACAAATTTTGAAAACACCATTGAATTTAAGGTCAGATAAATCGTTTATATAAATAAGAAAACGTAAAAACCTGGGTATAACATTTCATTTATGCTAAGCCTATCATTTATACATCGTTTACAAATTACACCATGTAATTTATACTATGTTTAATAAATACGATACAAAATACAGTATTATAATGTTTAGAAAATACCCTAGTGTACTATCATTGATTATAAATACTATAATATTTAGATTAGACTAACCCAGTCCAACCTATATTCTAAGTTAAAAATAAAAACTTCAATTATACAAATACCTAAGTCTGTTAAATAAACTGAAGATATCGCTATCGAACTCAAATTATAACATTAATCTAAGGACAACACTGTATTGTAATTTTTACTATAGTTAACTTACATTCAGTCAAGCAATCGGAAGATGACGTGCCGGCCATCGGCGTTTGTTCGATCTGTAACTTCTGTCTACGCCGGCAACGAATTCTGTGTTTTAACCGGTTTATTTCTTCGTCGCTCTCATCGATCACCTCGTCAGTGAATTTCAATTTTTGATGGCATTTAATCTGAAAACGGTGACCATCATTGATAAAATATTGTTTATGATAATTTATAAATATATTGATGGATATTAGCAAACAATAATGTATATACCATTAAAAACAAAATAAACGAAAATGAAATAATTAAGTATAAATAGGAAGGTAGGTACTCAGGGCGCGTCAGTCCCTCTGTAATACGCAATTTTTTAATGATAACCAAAAAAATAAGTATACAACCGCGGGGGTGTAAAAATAAATACTAAAGCAATTAGACGATATAAATAAAAACAGTCATGCAGGTATAATCGTTAGAATATAATATACATGAATATACGTTTTAGAAAATTTAAAATATAATAATATTAATATTTTGATGTCTTACACGTCATTATACATCTCAACATCTGTAGGATACTTTTAGAGGAGTATACTGTATTACTGTGTATGCGTGTGTGTATATATGTATTTATACATATATAAAAGATGGATACACACATACATAAACATTATATATAGGAGATTATTTTATCATTAAAAAGTCATTTTCTTAGTGTAAATTTTAACTAATATGTTTTAAAAAATATTTTACTTTATATACTTTAAAGCACATTACACATACCTTTTAAAAGAAAAATTAAATTTTATATTATTTTTTACTGTATCATTTTTATATACATTCTAGACAGAAATTAGAATATTTTTCTGACAATTATTGAATGTCAAACTAGTATCAAGTTAATTACTTATACAAATAACATTTAATGTTTAGAAAAATTGAGTCAACGGTACACTATACTCCATTGATCTAAGCTTTAAATATTTATTTAAGCTAATTAATTGCTGGTTCAAAATTCAATGAAAAATGTATGTTGTCATTATTTAAAGGAATAAAAATTAAAAATATTATAATAAACAATAATACAAAATATAAATTAAAATGATTTGTTTTTATAACTATGATTAAAAGAACAACAAAATTATTTTCAAAAACATGTAAGTTTACTGAGAAAATGGCGATTCAATGATATAAGAATCACCTTATACAGAAAGAGGATGCTGTGTTATGGTAGCAAACGGCACATTGTGATGTCGAGGATGCGTATTGCGTGAGTAGGTTTCTTTTTCTCCCAAATGCCGGTGAGCAGGAGACATTCGGCCAGAATTCCCTGGCCAGACCGATGCCGCTACGACCGTTGTGCACTTGCAGTGGACAAAACAACTGATATGGTCGTCATTATGACAAAAAAATATTTGTCTACATAATGTATACAGTAGGAGGTACATGTAAAATTATTATAGTTTGTTCCATACTATATTATATTAAGCACGTGCAGTTGAAACCTAATATTATAGCTTTACTGCTGATAATAAATAATTTTTTTATTTAACTCATAATTATTTATAAAAGTTAAGATAATTATTATTTTAGTCATTGTGAGAAAAATATAATTCTAAAAAAATAGTTGATAAAAATTGAATTCAACAATTTTTAAATACAAATACACCTGATTACTGATTTAATTATTATAAAGGCTTAATGTTATAGACTAATTGATTGAAACTTACACATTGATTATTAGTATCAACTATCAACTATAAACACAATATGAGTTTCTACACATATGGTAGAATGTAGCGATAACAATAATGAATTAAAATTAATTTTTATTCATAAAAATCAAGTTTTTTGTAGCTTTTACATTTAGAGATTTGTTTATCAAAATATATTAAATTATTATTCATTATATTGACTGGACCACATGGTAGATATGCAATAAAAACAATAGTTATATTTAAATGCTTACTTGTTCAATTGTACCAATGATTGCTTCAGAAATTTTGAAATGTGCATTTTCACGATCAAGTTCAGCATTGGCTTGAAGAAACTGTCCAGAAGATAAAAACTTGAACAAATCTTGATCGGGAAAATATGAAGATACTAATCCAAATGTTCCCACATACTTTGAATGAGGAAATTCATCATAAGGTATTAAAGTTCTGGATCCATCAGAGATATTGCTCCGTGTGTCGTCATCAGATTCTTCTAATATTTTTAATGGGAGTGTAAACAACTTTGATCGTCGTTTGGTTCGTTTGGGTAAATCACTATTTTTCAATGTTTGATTTTTGTTTGAATTTTCATTATCGTTAAGAAGCTGTTCATAATTTACATCCAATAACTTTGGGAGCAAAACCTGTGTTGTATTTTCTATTGTTGCAGCCTTATGAGTATGATCTAATGAGTAGTCAGATGTTTGTAATGTGTCAAAACTCAATGACTGTCTGAGTTTTAGTTGATCAAATGTCTTATAAATATCTGGCCAACTTTTATAGCATTGTCTTTTAGACAAGTGTTTAATTTTATGCTTAGGTTGATCGTTATTATGTCCAGTATTCATATTATATTCATTGATGTTTTCAGAGGATTTATAAGTCAAAATATTTGTCAATGAACCCAATTGTTTGAAATATTTACTTTGTGTTTGCTTATAGAATGATTTTGGTAAGGTAGTACAATGTTCATTTTTAGATGAATAATTTAAATACTAAAAATAGTTTAAAATATATTATTAACAAAAGTATTTACCTAATTAATTAAAAATGCCTTACTAATTTAGGATTGATTTCCAGTAATAAAGATGGTTGATTCAGTTCAACGACTCTTAAGCATAATAATGCAGCATCACTATACTCTTTTTGACATAAAAAAGCTTCTGGCTTATAACATTTATACAGATGATCTTTGTCAGATAACAATAATCCAAGTTTTTCAGATAGTGAATGATTTTCAAGACTGAAACATTTTAACATAAAATGTTTACTTTACAAATGAAATAATCATCAATAAATTAATAAAATAATAAAAATTGTAGTTAATAATAAACCTTTAAGAAAACAGTAACCATATTCTTATTGAATAGCAATGGTAATTTTAAGAAAGATAAGGGCAAAATACCCTTCACTCTTGTAATGATACTATTTTTTTTTTTTAATATGCAAATATTAAAAATTATCATTTATTGCAATTATTGACAGTAAATATTGGAAACATGGTGGTGCAGTGGGCGCACCAATTGCCTGACAGCACTAGTGTTAAGCAAACGACTACATTCAAAGTTCCTGGGTGAGTGACAAGTGACATATTGGGAACTTTAGCAATATACACGTCATATTTTAACCTACTTATAATTATCAGATAAATAGTATCTAACTGTATCTCTTCAAGAAAAAAAAATAGTAAATATTTTTACACTTTTAAAATATAAAAAAATATGTTAGAACTGTCTTTACCAAGAGGTTGAATACATTTTTTTTGTGCTATAATATTAAACTACTAAATATTATCCTTTTTAAAGTTTTTTCAAAAGACCTTTTGTTACTGTTTAAATGTTAATGCTTTTATTTATTTTATTTTTTTTTTATAATTTTTTATTTAAATGCAGCAAATAATTTATTTACAATTTAAATTTTGAATAAAAAAAAATTATTACCTACATATAAAAATATATTTTAAGAAAAGTATAAATAAAACCACATTACTTAATGCATTTTTGTAAATTTATAACTTCTTAAAAAGAAATAAAGATACAATAATAAATCCACCCTTAAACTCTCATCTTGATAAAACTAAACATGAGAAAGCTCATATAGATTAAATATATTATGGCAGAATAACCATTTAAACACATTAAGACAGACCTAATTGATAAAAACATTGATTATAAATACTATTTATAATCAATGATAAAACTTAATAAAAAAATTATATAAATAAAAAATTCTGTAGGTGAGGTATTTATAATAATACATTTAACTAAAGCGCGGATTTCTATGCAATTGCATATTTTTTTCCTTTAATATTTTTGGATTTTTGTCAGTTATCTCCACGAATCATCATAATTTGAAGCTAATGGTGAAATTTTTTTTGCATATTTCTACATATTTAAAGGTTATTGCATATTTTTGCATATTTTGGCAAAATTCAAAATTTATTGCATATTGAAGCGAAAATTTAAAAAAATTTAAAAAAATGTATAAGATAATATTTTGACAAGTAGAATGATTTAACATTTATATCTACTCATTTGACATTTTTAGTGATAGTCATAAAAAAAACTGAAAACTTAAAATATGACTTTACATCTAAGCTTTTCAATAATTGACAAAACGAAAGAAAAAATGCATTCTATTTCTGGATCGAAAGGTGTAACACTTACAACAAAATTAAACGAGCTTTCCAATAAAAATGAAGATCTGAAAATTCTATGAAAAATTAATTCAGTGTTAATAGGCGAAAACGTTCAGCTCGAAGATCTTTATCAAGATCCGACAATACTAAGTTGCTTCAAATATGCCCCAATAACTTCGGTTAACGTCAAACGTTCGTTCTCAGTCTTTAAAAATATGTTAACCGATAAACGATACAGCTTCACAGAAGAAAAACTTGAAATGCATATGATTATTCATTTTAATAATAAATAAAATTTTAAAAATAAATTAAGTTTAGAAAATTCCCTAAATTTTTTATTATTAAGTATTTAAGTTATTAATTATTATAAGTTTTATTGTAAATTTTAAATAAATAAAAAATTCTTGCATATTTTTGCATATTTTTATGATTTTTACTGCATATTATATGGCATATTTCGATACTTTTAAGTGCATAAAAATCCGCACTTTACATATAACTATTTATAAAATACAAAAAGTACATAGTATATGATATAATAGATATTTAGATTTTATGTGGTTAACATAGCGAACAAATTTAAACAGGTATAATAGGTACATAAAAATGATTTCATAGTTTGAATATATTCAATGTTGGTGAATAATAAACAAAAATTGAAAAGTTGATAGATACAATAACATTTTGAAGATATTCAATATATAATATATTATATATTCATAAGCAGACCCATATGAAATACTAAGTTTACTAATAATGTTATCATAAAATTTATTCAACAAATTAATTATTATATGCAATTGTATGTGATCTGTGGCATAATATTTATAAAAATTTGAAAAAAAAAGGGGTTTATTTAAGTTTTTTAGAGAAGAATATTATTTATCATATGTTATACATCTTCTCAAAACAAAGATAAATTTTCATTTGTAAATAAAAGAATTATTTTGTAACTTAACAAAATTATAGTTTTTCAACTATTATATAGTATGTCATAGTTAACATAATACATAGAAAAATAATATAGTTGTTGATATTGAAGGAATTAAACTAAGTTAAAAATATATAAATCCACAAATATGGTAGAAATACCATAATAAGTATGGTAGTGCCTAATACCAAACTATACACTAATAGATACTATAAATTACTAATCAATTAAGTAATGCCGATTATTTACACTTCAGCTGACAGTAAACATGTTTAAACAAATTACCAAAACCCTTTATAGTAATTAGTAATTTATTAACTAGTAAATGACTAATTGATATATGTGTCATGACATACCTTTTATATATCCATAATGATGATCTATCCAAATGTTTGTTTTTAAAGCATGTATTTCTAGAAAATGTGCATGATGCTATTGTTGGGTGCAACCAATTGATTCCTTGAATAAAATGCCAAATAGCATCTTCAGCCTTTAGAAAAATATAGTTAAATATTGTTGCTACTTACTAGTTCTATACAAAATCATTTTTGTTGGAATTCAAATTTATACTTATATTTAAATAAATCTAGATCTATAAGTGGATGTTCTTGAAAATTAACTTATAGGGTACTAAGTTATTCCCAGAATTTGATAACATAGCTTAAATAAATATTTTGATACCATTAATTTTAGCCAAAACATAAAAACATTGTAACTAAACTAAACAGTTGTGCAAAAAAAAAACTATAATATGTTTATTTATATCTAGAAATGATTGATATAACTTAATAAAAATACAAAGCAAAATGTCTTATTTGATTAGTGTTTGAACTTAGTGGGCAATGAAAAAGCTATGCCTTACAGGTTATAACAAGTGGAAAAATAAATAAATGTCTTAATAAATATGTAACTTTATTTAAATGTAACCAAACCAATATATCATTAACATTGATTTCATAAATTAGTATACTGCCCAAATAATTGTTTTATATTACAAGATTAAAATAATTGAAATGAAGATATGGGAGCTTTTACTCATCACAGCTATTAAAAACATTTAAACTATTTAGTACCTACTAAGCTAATCTTTGGCAGGTGTCTTTAATTAGATGTAAGGTATATAATATGATAATAACACGATTCTAATTCAAAGATTACATTAAGGTTAGCAGTTCAAAAGTTATAAAAATATGTTCATTATACACCTATAAATACTTAAATACAATTAATCATAATTTAAAATTTGTTTTTTTTAATAAGTAGGGCCAATGTTAGTATATAATATTAATTAATTTAATGGTAGACTAAAATTTAATAGAGCAATCATGGGGCAAATTATGTTCAAGGAACAACTAACTCATTATTGATTCGTTAAATATTTAGTGATTGTGATTTTGAGATAAATTTATTCATTACCTATCTAATACCTATATTACATAATATCACTCGTCTTTAATAAGAAAAATGTAACAATTACCTAACTAATAATATAATATAATTATTAAAGGTCAAAAATATAAATGACTCAATAATTATTATAATAGGTATACTTAAATATTTTTAAATTTTAAAAATATTTTATTGATATACAGTGAAACCTCTCTTAGCAGACACCTTTGAATAGCAAACGTTTTTTCAGGGACAGGGACATTTTCACTATTTATGTACAGTAGAACCTCGATTATCCGTGTTTGCGATTAACCGTGCCCATTCTTCCGAACATTTTTAAACATAATACTCGATATCGACAATCGTATTAATGACATTTTTGACGATAACTTCATATTTTAAGCCCTAATAACTTGTTGTAGGTATACAATATTATGGATGTAGGACGTATGTATAACATTATTGTATGTATACGTCTTCTTATATATATTTCTAATTACAATTGAATCAAAATTTTTAAAATTTCATTATTATAAAATTGTACCTATGTATTTCTAATTATAATTGAATCAAAATTTTTAAAATTTCATTATTATAAAATTGTACCTATGTATTTCTAATTATAATTGAATCAAAATTTTTAAAATTTCATTATTATAAAATTGTACCTAGGTATTTCCAATTATAATTAAATAAAAAATTTCATTATTATAAAAAGTCTCGATTAACCGTGATTTTCATTTATCCGTGTGACCCTCTCCCCATCATTACCCTGGATAATCAAGGTTCTACTGTATAGAAAAACATCTAAATATAGGACACTTTAAATAACGGACGCTTTTATGACACTAATATTAATAATTTTTATCTTAAATTAAAAATTATTTTGGAATACCTGAATAAAAATCTCAATTATTAAGTTATCTAATGTGTACATTATTAAACTGTATATGAAAATTTTATCTTATCCATTCAGTCATTGAAATATTATCGCGTCAACAAAATATTGTAACTAATGCATTGTCCTATGTCCGTGTAGTTGTGTTTGTGATTCCAATACATTAACGTTTATTGTACTGCGCTATGGCCAGCAAAAGAAAACAATTAACTCTAAAAGAAAAAATAGACATTCTGGAATTTTTAACACTAAATACAAGTATGGGCATTTTTGGGAATTTTTTTAAGATGTATTTAATTAATGTAAAAATAATATAAAATAAAATTATTGAATTTATTTATTTATTTATTTATTTATTGAAAAAAATGTTTTCCTCTAAATAGCGGACAAAATTTCGGCGACCGAGAGTGTCGCTATTCAAATTTATTTACTGTAATATCATACTAGATAAATAAAAAAAAAACAATTAACTGTTGTAAATTTTAAGTACAATAAAATAAATTACATTGTTGTATAAATAGGTACGTTGTATTTAAAACATTGTACATAAATACGCCCCTAAATGTCTACTTACATTTGAATTTATTGTCAAACATCCATGGCTAAAAATTTTCATCATGATTGAATGTAGTCGATCTAAACCACCACATACTTCCCAAGTATTGGTTTGAGCTGACATGGACAAACATTCTACTGTCGATTTCAGATTATCTAGTATTGCAGACAGTTCTTCCATCTATTTGAATATTTCGATGAAATTACAAGTATACACTTTACGAAACATTAAAAATAATTGTATACGTCTATTTGATTAATCGCGAAAATATTTACAGAAACAATGAATAATGAGTATTTGGTGTCAGTCTGTAACTATAGTTCATTTAAGTTAAATAATAAAAATAAATTAATAAATATAGTAGGTAGACGATTTATTTTGATACATATACGACGTGTTTAACATACATTAACATCATTCGTACATGGTTAGATAAAAAATAAATAATGATAGCATTAATATTTGATTTAAAATAAAATATTACAATCACAGATTGCAAGTATGTTTAAATTATATTACACACTGCCGTACATAAGCAAAAATATAAAAATATTTTAAATTTTAAATCACATTATCCATGAAAGAATAATGATTAAAAAATTAAACACGGTTATCTCTGTGATAAATAGATCAACATAATAAAAAAAGGAAACGACTGATAATATACTACACCGCCTTAATAATATAATACGTTACCATTTACCGGTTATCAAAACTTCAAGTAAAGAATAAGATAAGACCATTATCATAGTAATCGTACTGTCGTATCCGTATCCGATTTTTGGTTGTAACTTTGAGCTTAGAAAGTCTGAACTCACTTCTGAGCGATATAATATTATATTGTTTTGCAATAAATAATATTTATTAAAATTATTCTGAGTGCTGGGTGACTTCTCTCCTCACGTATCTATGTCTTATAACTGAATATTATATTATGTATTAGTATAGTTGTTATTATTTTTTTGCACATAATAATATGTTCATTGTAAATACCTTTACAGATTGTATTATATTCAAATAAGTAAAAAAAAAAAAATTAAATTATTGTAGTCCGTCGAACGCAATATAGAAACCTCGATTGTCCTCTGTCGGTAAACAAAAAATTGGAACTCAAACAATTTTTAAAGGCATAGGTATAAAATGTTAAGATGATGTACGAGATCGTTAAAATTAAAATGATCTTTTGGTTACAAGACGCTGAATCGATTTTTAAAATATTTATGCGACGGCTTTAGTTTTATCGGTCAACTCTGATGAGCCAGACCTAATGCACTGGATTAATTTATTAAGTTTAAATGACAAGTATTAGAAAAAAAAACATAAAATATAATGTTGGTACTTCAGTAATAATTACAATTTTTTTGTAAAACGACGCACGTCCAACATTTTTAAATAATTTTTAAAGACAAGTATGCAAATTCTGAGTACAAAATCATCTTGCACTGAGGAGTCAGAAGAAACGATATTGACGATATACCTACCTAACTTTATCGTCTTCTTGTAAATCGTAATCATATATTCATATAGCATATTATATTATGTAGGTCGTTTAAAATGTGTTAAAAATCATAATCATAATAATATATACGATCCTCGAACATTATTATTATGGGTCCAAATATTTTTTTCTTCAATAATTTATTTGAATTTTAAAATTTTCAAGTATAAGCACTAAGCAGGTACCTATATACCTACTTAAAGATCACATTTTCAAAGTCTTGAAGTTGTTTGTACAACTGCTTAAAGAGTATCTCGTGAAAATCCAAACTTCTGTTTTTTTAAATGTACCCCCCCCCCATTTATTCATCTATACATTTTTCTAAACATTTCGACGGGATACGGACATCCGGCCGAATCCAAACGGCCAACGGCTATATAGGCCGACAGTCAGATAGCCGAAAGTATTTTAGCCGACGAGGTCAAAAGGCCGACACCACGAAAAGCCGATACTAAAATAATAAATTAAGTATTAGCTATAAATTTTCAATTCGATAACGTAGTGTTGTCTCTTGTTGTCATAATTTAACGATACCTAATACCTATAGCCTGTAAATATAACTATAATCTACAGCGGTCTAGGACGTTTTGGCGCCGCCGTTTGGGCGCTGCCAAAATATAATATAAACTGTAATATTTTATTTTTAAGAATAAGTATCACCTATGTGGCTATATATATATGTGTGTGTGTGTGTGTGTGTGTGTGTGTGTGTGTGTGTGTGTGTGTGTGTGTGTGTGCATAATTTTACCAATCTCAACATAAAATTACTTAATTGGCCATTTTATATGTCGGCCTAATGCGTGTCGGCCATTTAGTATGTCGGCCGATTGTACCACACCCATTTCGAGGTATCGCGGTCGAGAAATTATTTAATTAATTATTATCGAACTAACAATATTTATAATTTTTAAAAACGACTCAGGCATAATCAATATTAAAACCAATATTACATAATATATTAATGTATTTTATATTACAAAGAAAGTATACCTATAACCAGAGGGCACTCCTCGAATATCTAAAATACAGTAGTTTTCAACCGGTGTGTCGCGGCACACTGATTTGCCGCGAGCGCCTTTGAAGTGAGCCGCACGATAAATCTATTGACGAGTTGATTTTGTATATATATGTATTATATATAAAAATATATGTTTCACGTATTATATGAATTGGTGTGCCGCAAAAATTTTGTAGAAGAAGAAGTGTGCTACATTGTTAAAAAGGTTGAAAACCACTGATCTATAGTTACCTACAAAAACATCGAAATTTGAATAAATTCGAAAAAAATAGAGGTGAACCAAATGCTAGTCGGATCACTCTGAGTCGTATATTCGTGTAATATGTGCCCATCCATGTTCTATCGTATGATTGACTCGTAGTATAAATTATGATATGTAATAAATACAATGCGTAGGTATTCAATTTTTCTAATTCCTAATGTCGGCGGCAGCTGGTACCAGCTCCTAAAATTGTGTGCAGTACGACACACTTTGTGTGGTAGGTTAGGTGTGTAGTATGAAATTTAAAAGTGTACTTTAAACAATTATTTATTTTGATAAAATATTACAGCACTATTTTAAAATCATTGATTTATTTGTATAAATAAACTAAAAGCTAATAATATAGTAAGGTATACGATACAATATATTATTCAACATAATAGTTAATCAGTCAATAATAAATTAGAGTGAATTAAATCAATTTTTTTGAATAAATTAATACATTAATTAATAACGATTTGAGTTTGTTCACAAGTTATAAAATAATATAATTATAAATAATATTGGGATTTAATACATATTATGCGTTTTTGTTTAAAGAAATGGTGCGCTAGTTTTTAGAGCATTGATTTTTTTTTTATCTAGACTTGGCCGATTCGGAACTATAATGTGTGTAGTACGAAAGTTTGGATATTTTAGAGGCTGGGCCATGATGCCCACCTACACACGGTACCTACCTGGTAGACTATAGGTCGTAAGTACGGACGGACTAAAGTCGTCGGACTCTTAGCAATAAGTCACGTGACGCGTCTTTAAAAGTTCAAAGTCGAATTCGGTTCGAAATTTTGAAAACGTCCCGATAGATCACGGTCAGTGTACGATGGATACCATTGGCCAAGATTGGGGAGTACTTGGGGAGGGCTTGGCACTCTCAAAAAAATCGAAAACCCTCCCCCCCCCCCAAAAAAAAAAAAAAAAAATTATTGAACTTTTTTTAAAGTATTAAATAGGTACCTACTTTGCAACAATGCAGAGAAAGATTCAAGCTCTTCCCCCTCCCCCTAAAATTCAATCGAATTTCCACCTACGATAGATCCGCGGCCAATCGAGGGCCCGCGGACGAGTAGCCCTGAATTCGCGGTTAAATCAATTGATTTCAGTCCGCGGCTTACGACGGTGAATAGATACCGCGGTTAAAATAGTTATTGTGTTAGATACCTACCGTACACGTTTTTAAACCGTGATCGACTGTCTAGAGTCGTATTACGTGCCCCGCACTGGCGTGCAATAAAGACGAATACCTGATTAGTAATTAGTATGCCTGCGGTGTCCGCGCGGACAGGCCGCAGCCCACTCTGAACTTTCACCGCAAATTCTCTGGCACGTTCGGCACACCGAGTGTCACAGACACAGTATCTATCCACTGTGGTCTTCGTGTCGCACGTAGGTAAAACAATTTAATTATGTGATTAATAATACACGCGCGAGCGTATTTGTCGATCAACTGCCCGACAAGGCGAAATCATTTTATTATTATGCCGACTGCGTCGTATAATGCGTGTTACCTACCCACATATCGTTATATCACGCACGTAGCGCGTACACCTACCTCCTACTTAACTCACTCACATCGTTCGTTACCCGCTGACAGAGTCAAATTTTAAGTGGCCTAACCGATAAATATCGTTTATTCCGTTTGCACTTCTACGCTCATTAGGTACTGTTATACAGCCGCAGCTGGTCGAACGACAGTAGGTACGATCGATATAATAATTCATAATTAATACAAATTATTGTTGCCTATCAGAACACCGGAGTGCCTAGGTAGTACTGCAATAAATATAGGCAGGTACAACAATGTTATTAATTATTAAACTAAACAATAAAATAATAATAATATACAAACCGCGAACACGTCTTGTAGTAGGTACCTAACCTACCTACTACCTATACCCATTCGATGCGACATAATATTAGTTATTACTTATTACCATTTCATTTCACCTTGCCACAATATTCTGGTCAGGGTCTTTAACTCGTTTCGTGTCTTATTTCTCATCTGTCCGTCCTCTCAAACTCGTTTTCAAAACATCACTTGTTATCATCATCGCTAGGTATACCGAATACCGGCGTTGTCGTAATAATACTATATAATCATATTATGGCCTACAAATACAGGAATGTTGAATTCTAATTCGTTTTTTTACGTTCTACAAAGTGGTTTTTTTTTTTTCAATAGAATAAATTATACATATTTTTTTTATTTTTTTCATTACATGTTTTTGCTGTAGTGAAACCGGTGAAAGCAACCCGGTTCATTCGATCGTTCAGATTTCTCAGCTTCAGAGTCAAATCCAATTTAAAGTCACGTTAAAATCATGCAAAACATTATCAACACCGTTAAAGGTACTGCACTAGGAGTCGCTGGATTATTAACTCCAGTCCTAAAGGTAGGTAATCATTCACGTGTATATAATACTACACATTTCAAATAAAAATAATCTCATTCGATTATAAAATAATAGCTACCTATACTTAATTTTGTTCCAATAATTTAGATGGACAATCAATTTTTTTTTTTAAGTATAATGTATGCCTATCGAGTATAAATGAACATATAGAGTAGGCACCTGCCACTTATTAAAGTTAATAGAGTACTGAGTAGTCATAAGTCCATAGATACAATTGGCTAGTGTGTAAATTTTTATTAAACATTTTTTTTTGTTTCATAACTATAATTTAGCTTATTTTACATTTTATCGTAGGAAATAATTAGTGTTACTTTTCAATATTTATATTAAATACACAATAATAAAGTAAAAAATACAATATTTGTTTTATAGGAATCAAAATTCAAAGATACAGGAGTAGTCACACCAAATGAATTTGTTGCTGCTGGTGACCATTTAGTGCATACATGTCCAACTTGGGAATGGGCTTGTGGCGATGAATGCAAGATAAAATCTTATTTGCCAAAAGACAAACAATATCTGATTACAAAAAATGTTCCCTGTTTACGTCGATATAAACAAGTTATAAAATAATCAATTTAGTTGAATATATTTATAAATTATAATAACATATTTTTTTTTTTTTTTTTTTAGATTGAGAATAGTGAAATTGTTGAGAATATTGTTGAATTAGGAGAAGGAAATGAAGGATGGGTTGAGACTCATCATTTTGATGAAAAAATATCCGAGATATCATACGAAGTATTATTTATAATTAATATATTCCTAAAGTGTATTATTTTTTAATTTAATTTTTTTTATACTTTATTCAAGTTAAAAAAAAAAACAACTCAACAACTAACTTATGCACAGGAATGTGGTATAACTACACTACCGGTGTACACATATTGACTCAGTTGAAGTGACAACTGGGTGTTGCTTGACCACCGTCAAACAAAAGCTTATTATTGTTAGGTTGTCTTCTTAACTTGAATTGAGTAAATTAATTCAATTGCATTATTAATTTTGCAACTAATTGTTTAAAAGACATGGGGGGTTTAAAATAATTAACCTCAATACAAAAATATTTAATTTTAATGTTGTAGGAAAATGTTGAAGATCAAAATAAAAGTAATCAAGTTTCTAACATAATGACTCACGAAAATCAAATTATAAAAACTTGTAATTTCTATACTAAAAATAGTGGTATAGGCGATGATGAGAATGACGATGACGATGAAGGTGAGGCATTAGATATGGATGCGTTTGTAGAGAGTGGTCTACTGGAAGATGATTCGGTAATTTTTTCTCCATTCATTTTTAAGAATTTTTTTTTTTATTTCTTAAAATGTTCAAATTTTTAGTTATTGATCAAATTATTCTTGAATAGAACAAGTTGAGAAGATAAAAATTAAAATACATTGTGCAAACAATGCAATAAATTTTAAAATGTTTTTGTAACTATATCCTGTTAGGTCTGGTTATTGGTAAAATGTACAGTAATTATTAATAATTATCTAACTGATTATTTAGTATTAATTTTGAATGAATGAAACTTAATTTATTAAATTTACTATTTGCATTTAATTATGTAGTCTTTTGATATTAATTATATTCATTTAGTTATATTAAAAAATAAATTAATTTAAAAAAAGTAATAATAATTTAGATGAGAAATATTATTTATGTATAGATGAAGGATTTTAATGTACTAAAATATCATAAAATTTACTAATGAATTATTTGTTATTATAATAATTATTAATTAGTCTTTTAATTATACACATACAATTTGTGTAACATTTTTAAGATGTAATTTATAGTTATTGGCAAACTTCACCTTTTATTTTTCTTTTGTATTATAAGCTTTAAATTATTTTCAAGTGATGTAATTTGATTAATAGCCACTATAAACATAAGATATTTTTATTTTTTATGTCATATAAGAACATACATTTTTTTTTTTTTAATTCATTTATATTGGTATCAAATATATTTGTGGTAATATTTTAAGGCAACCATTTACTCAACACAAAAAGAAAAACAATTAACAACCACACCTATTGATGAAATATTAAAAACCAGAACATATGATTTACATATTACATATGATAAATTTTATCAAACACCAAGATTGTGGATTTATGGATATAATGAAGTAAGTATTCAGCAATGTTCGTAAACAAAATTTATTAACATCAAAGGATGAATAAGCAAAAAAATTGTTAAATCTTAATATTATCTTATGTCAAAATAATCTAAAATTTGTATTTTATGAGAAACATTATTTTTTTTTTAATTTTTTTTTTTTTTATATATATACTTTTAAGAATAAAAAATCGCTAAGCGTAAGAGAAATATATGAAGATGTAAGTCAGGATTATGCAAAAAAGACTGTTACTATGGAGTCTCATCCTCATCTTCCTGGTCCGCCAATGGCTTCAATACATCCCTGCAAGTATGAACATAATATTTAATTAATATAAATCTACAAAATCGAAGTGTTAGTAGTTAATTGTACAACAAGTGTGATAAACTACAAGTCTTTAAAAGTTATCCATATTTAAAATATAAGATTTTTTTTTTTTAATTAGTGAAGTATGGTTAGATTAATAAACCCAGGGTTTAGATTGCATTATTTTCATATTTTTTTTATTTTTATGCATTTTAGTACATCACATAACATACCAAAAATTATTTTATGATATGTTCATAGCAATGAATTTGTTAGTTGATAATTATGTACTTTTTACAGGCATGCAGAAATTATGAAAAAACTGATCAAAATAATGACAAAACGAAGAAAACATTTAAAAGTCCACATGTACTTAATTATATTTTTGAAATTTGTACAATCAGTTATACCGACCATAGACTATGATCATACACAGAATATTAATTTATAATAATAATTAAGTTTTTTAAATGAAAATATTAGAATAACTTATTTTCAACTCAAATTGTTAATGTAAAAATGTTAAATTATTTCAATACAACACTTAAACATAACATCTGCTAATAAATGTTGTTAACAATATTTTTTCTATAAAATTTTAAATATTAAGTATCATACAATTATTAATTTAAATGTATTATATAATTTAAGAATGTAATTTTATTAAAATTGTTAATAAACAATTCAAAGTATATTAATAAAAGAATTATATTTAGAATATTATATAAATAAAAATGTTTAAACATTTTAGCTGTAAAGTTTAAAATAGTGCGCAAGTCATATTATAATAAATTTTAAATTTTAAAATAATTTATTGTCATTCAAAGTACAAAAATTCCAATTAATTTATAGGTTAAAATAAAATATTTAGGTAATACTATATATATATATATATTATTGGAGCTTTCATAATAACTTTGAAATTATTCTAGCCTCTTTTTCAATTAAATATTGTAATTATTGTGAAATTTTATTAAATGCAGTTTTAAAGTTTTTTTCGGGAAATATCTTGAAAAAATGAAATATTACCAAAGCCACAAATAATTTTAACTATTTAGGTCTTAGGATGACTAAAGACCCTCATTATTAAGATATTTAGACAAAAAGACAACTATTTCAAGTAAAATACAATATTGGATTAAAATACTCAAGGACCAAATTTCCAAATTAAAAAAAAAATATATGTTATCTATTTAAATAAAGAATATAAAAAAATATATAAATCGTTTATTTTAAAGTTGCATTAAATTTGTTAATGATTGCCAAATATCAATTATAAATAATAAATACTCTAATAGATGTACCTTTTTTTGTTTCTATTTTACTCATTAGAACATTAAGTATTTATGATTTATTAATTCAAACCACTTATAATAATGTAAATCAAATATCTTTAAAAACATTAATTGTTTTTAAAATACCTTTGATAAAATAATCAACAAATATAACAAATATTACATAAATTATTTTATAAAATAAGATAATTAATAATGTAAGAAAATATAACACATTAAATTTTTAATTATTTTTTTATAGTATGTCATATACCATATTAATTTTTTAAGAAAAATTTGCCTATAAAATTTTTTATTTATTATACATTTTAATACTTCCTATATTATATATTATATTACAGTTACAGACACCTAAACTCAAATATTATTGATAATTTTTTTTTTTTTTTTAATGCATATTTTTTCCTATCCTTTGGTTGTTATAAACCCTAGATGTTTAAATATAAAATATTTTAATCATAAAATACTATTTTTTCTGCAATTTTATTTATAATATTACCCGAGTCTTTATTATAGGATAATAATAAAGTAAATTTATCTAAATGCAAGTATAAAAATAATATTTCAATATATACATACGTGAAGATCTCGATGTTGCCATCATCAAAAATTTCTTGTTTGATAAATATAGGAACATTACCGTTTGACGGGATGGCCCGATTTCCTTGATTTTCTGGTCTAAATCAATAAAATTAAAAAAAAAAGACTTATAGTAAAGAAAGTGCAAGTGTAAAAATATTTCAACATTAACATACATTTTCATCCTCATGTTTTTTTGTCCATTTGCCACATTAGGAATGAAATTGTTTGATGGATCAAACATATTTCCTTGTGTACTAAATCAATAAGATAAAAAAAAAAAAACTATTATAGTATGGTAGCGCAAGTATAAAAATTATATTCCAATATTGACTTACGCATAGGTTGGCTCCATGTAACTTTGAGTATGAAATTCTTGTTTAATTTTTATGGGAACAAAACTTTTAGATGTACTAGGCATGTTCTCATGTCCTTGTGGTCTAAATCAATAAGATTAAAAGTAAAACCTTTATAATAAAAATAGTTCTTGTACAAAAAAATTATATTTTTACATTAACTTACATATAAATTCCCACGTTACCATCGTTTTGAACTGCTTGCCCATATTCCATACCAGGAATGTAATTATTTGATGGAATGAACACATTTTCTTGAGCACTAAATCAATAAAATTAAAATTAACTCGTATAGTAAAATAAGTACATGTATAAAAATCATATTTCAAGTTTTAACATCAACATACACATTGATCCCCATGTTACCATCGTTTTGAACTGCTTGCCCATATTCCATACCAGGAATGTAATTATTTGATGGAATGAACACATTTCCTTGAGCACTAAATCAATATAATTAAAATAAACTTGTATAATAAAGTAAGTACATGTATAAAAATAATATTTCAACATTAACATACACATTGGTCTCCATGTTACTATAACCTTGAAGTTCTTGATCAAATTCTGTAGCAGTAATGAGATTGTTTGATGGATCAAACGTATCCATATCATCGTAATTTCTAAATCAATAAAAAATTAATTTATAAATTAAAAATAATACAAGCATAAATTTATATTTTAACATTTTCATACACATTATAATTGAAGAGGTAACCCTCCTCATCATCATCTTCTTCATTTTCTTGTTTGATAGGAACTGTCATAAAGTCGTTGGTGAGATTAGGCATATTACCCATTTCTTGTGTTCTTAATCTATAAAATCAAATGGTAATAAAAAAAAATTTTTGTTAAGGAAATATGCGTATAAAAATTATACTTGAACATCAACATACAAGTAAGCAGTATTATCTTCAAGTTCTTGTTTGATTTTTATGTTATCAGGAATGTAATAGTTTGATGGACCTTGAGGGTTATGTTCTTGTGCACTAAATTCAAATTTAAAAAAAATTATACATTGCAAAAATAGCGCAAGTAAAAAACTATTTCAAAGTTAACATACGCTAAATTTTTCATATTTCCATCAATATTTTCGCTTTTAACGTTTTCAGTCATCATATTTGGAATAGAATTATTCTCGTTTTCTTGTGCTCTTTAACATTTAAATTTTAAAAATAAATACATTTTATAGTAAAAATAGTACAAGTAAAAACTATATTTCAAGGTTAACATACTCATCGATTTCCATATTCCCATCATTTATTGCTTCTTGTTTGATTACCATATTTGAATCAAACTCATTTGATGGGATAATAGTCTTATTCTCTTTTTCTTGAGTTCTAGATCAATTGAATTAAAAAAAACCTTTAGTAAAATGCAAGTATAAAAAAGTTATTTGGGAAAGTAGGTTACTGCTTTGATGTACAGTAGGTGTCTAATAGGTCACCGTAAGGCATGTATTAAATTTGAGTTCAATGATAATGTTTTTGTACACAAAAATGATTTCAAGAGAAGATGGTCTGTGAGCCTATATCTCTAAGTATATTTGATATGTATTTATTTGATATTAATATTTAAATTTGTTATTATATTATTAGTATTAAGGTAAGTTGATTTTAATTTGATCGAAAACATTAAATTTAAAAATTTTATTAATATTTAATTCCTATAATAATATATAATATATTTAAACCATATTATTTTATTATTGAGTAAGTTTTGAATCAATTCCATTTTATCATAGAATAATATGAATAAATTCATGGTACTTATAGTTTAATACTATCTATAATTTAATTTTTATATTTTAAAAATTTCATTGTGTATAGTAAAATTATAAAATATGTAAATATTTTAAGTCCCCCGTGTATAATGATTTTGAATTGCTATAAAATAACTAAAATTGTTACTCTTCCTTTAAGCATTTAATTTCATCAAAATTAAAATTTGCAACAGTTATATAAAAAATGTAACAATTAAAGAAAAAGTAAGTAAACATTTTCAATTGTCTATAAATATTAAAAAAAAAATAAAATGATAAAGTGATTAAATAAAAAAATAAATAAATATATCATTGTTAAAATCAATTCATTCATCACTCCACTTAAAATCTAAAATTATAGTTCAACATTAACATACTTATCGTTCTTCATATTGCCATCATTTCCATTTTCTTGTTCGATTATTTTGCTAGCTATATCCTCATTAGATGTATTCTCTTTTTTTTGCTTTCTAAATCAATAAAATATAAAAAAAAAATTACAAATAAACCATAGTTAAATGAAAATATATTTATATCGAAGCATCAATACAATATTTACTACTTGGATACTCGTATTCATACTAGTAACCAAATCAATATAAAATATTATGATAAACATTATATTATATCATTATAAATTATATTTAATTTTAAATTTTTATTAGATTATATTTAAACTTAACTCTTAACTACACACACAATTTTTTTCAATAATTACACACTAATTTTATTTACACAGAAATCAATGTTGTGTTGTACATACATATATATTTGACTTAATTTACTTAAATGTAAAGAAAGTACTATTTAATATTGTTTTAAATGTAATTATAATAATATATGGAAGAAAAAAATGTTGTTATTACTATATCATAATTCGATAGAGTAAAAATATGTTACTGTCAAGTAATTGTTACTAACTTAAATTAAACCTTACTCACTATCCTGACTTAAACATCTTACATATCTGACAACAGCTATTACATGCTCCTTACATGTAAACTTCTGGCACGAAGAGCATTGTATTGCACCCTATCTTTTATTTGTTTCATTAACCAATACAAAATTAATTTAAAACCGAGCTCGTTTATGGTGCTACAAACATTGAATGAAAATTGAAATAGATTAATATCTAATATATATTATAAAAGGAAAGGTTAGATTAGAAAAATAACTGAAAACAAATAGGTATAAATAAAAATAAAAATATTGAAGTAAAAAATACACCAGCGCGTGTAATTAAGGATTAAGAAAATAAACTAAATAACATTTCACAAAAAACACCCAATAATAATAATGTCACACATATAATACACAGATGTTTTGAGTCATGCCGCAGTCTACAATTTAATTATGTTCAAAGGCAGTAGCTCAAACCAATTACAAATAAAATTCACCAATACATGTAAAAGGCGCTTTATTACTCATTCCCTAGTACATCTAACAATTGTAAATATTTTTACCCGATTTACACTATACAAATAGTTATAACAATTCTTTTAAAAGTTCAATATTAATTTTCCCCTATCTTACTATTAATAAAAATTATTCTGATCTCTTTCTATCAAGATATAGATTGAAAAAAAAGATCAGTACAAAGGCAACCAGTAATGTTATATTATGTCAATAACTCATATTGGGTTCCAGGAACCAAAACAAATAGAAAATATTATATTACTCCTTCATAATATAATATATAAATTACATTTAAATCACATAAACAATAACATTTCATAAAACAATTGAGATACACATAATTATAATAATATAATCTATTTAAATGAAGATAATTCATATACATTAAACATTATCAATAATAAATAAGAGAACAATATTATATTATAAACAACCAATAATGAAAATTCACTGTTTACGATATCACCCGATTTCAGTATAACATAGCATAACTAAGTTATACCTACAATTATTTACAGAATTTAAACATATCTTCACCACAGATGCCTCTAAAATATAATGCCATGTTCAATAAATATGAAAAATAATCATAGTGTACCAAAATTCAATGCATCTTATAGAATATCATCGAAACAAAGCGAAGAGTTAATAAAATTAAATAAACAAACACTTAGATATTTAGATGCAAGAACGTATCTTATAAATGGTAAGAGATATCCATTTAACAAAAATGACTTTGATTTATATTAGATACGTATTAAAAGAGGAAAAACTCTCATGTCCATTCCTGATAAATTGCCACATTAAGTTATTAAACAGAAGTAATAGTCTAATAATGATTTTATTATATTACTTTGTTAATATAATTGATTATTTACCCTATTCTTAATTCATTACAAAAACGTAAAACATACCTAACCTGTACGATTTTCGACCAATACGACAGAAAGAAAAACAATGGTTCTTATTCGCATAACGTATCGTGAGCGATTAAGAAACTAACACCAATCAAACAAAAACGAAAAGAAACGCAATAATGTTACGATTGAGAACGGGATCGGTTGTACTACGTATCTTAAGATTTTTATACAACGCTGGATCCACAAGTTTAAAATGAATAGGTAAATAATCAATACTTAATCAATAAAAAAACGAAAACACGAGGTCTTCAAGCCACATTAACTCAATCACAACGCTGCGACCAACGTAAATGCGTTACGTCAGCCGAGTGCGCGTGATTTGTATAACCAATAACCATGCGGTTCCGCCGCACTGTGTTGCGTTCGATGCGGCAAAATACGAGCCGTTTGTTTTTGCCAAACGCAACGCATTTACGTTGGACGCGACGTAAACGTAGTGTGTAGTATGTTTTGAAAACGTGTACTTACTTTCCAGTATGCTTCTCAATCTCTTCTTCTGTGAGTCTTTTGAGTAATACATAAGAGTTGTAAACACGTTCTTTCGAACGTTTCTCGTTACGTTTAGACATTTAAATGTTGACGAAACAAAAATATTCGGAAATTAATAATATGTTCAATCACGAAATTAACAGCGGTTAGGCGATAATTGACTGTGTACCGATCGACGCGACCGTTGTTGTAAAATGGCAACTATCTACACGAGACAACTAATCACCGTGACAAAAAAAAAAATTTTTAGGTTATTTTCGGGAAAACTATTAAAAATTTTTTTTTCACGATAAAATATTCTGAATTGTTAAAAAAATTACACGATAATTCTAATTATTAAAAAATAATACGATTATATTCGGCAATCGGCAGTATGGAATAAATTTCAAAAAAATAACATGTCGGTTGTTGTCGTACATGATACCGCCGCCATTAAAAGACGCTATAGTCCACTCCACACTACTACTACTACTACTACTACTACTACTGACAACAATGTAGTATATACGGCGTCATGTTGAGCGTCAGATCTTCCCCAGATTAAGTGTTACCACTACTGGTATTCTACCTTCATGACATATAAATTGACCTATAATATACAGCTCGCGGCGTTACTTCCAGAACGAAAAATATAAAAATCCATATAAATTTATACCAATCATCGGTAGTTTTTCTATTTCTAAGCAGTTCCAGTGCTTACGAGTTTAGAGTTCATTCATTTATCCTTCTCCGGCCCTTGGCTAAATATATTTTATCATTTATCCGTCGTTAAAAATCAGTAGCAATAATTATTTTTTAAGCGCGAATACTGTATAATATTTAAGTAGGTACTTCAATAATCTAATGTTTACCCCTATTATTAGTGCAGCATATTAACATTAATAAATATTAAAATTACTCATTGATTTATTGAGATTCATTATTTTTAAATACAATAGGTAGGTACTTTAATGTTTCAATGTTTGGGAATACGAACATCATATTTTATTATAAATACTATTGATCCCAAGACAATTGGACTACTCTTTACTATATAGTCCATCTCACAAAAGGAAAGTACCATTTCACTTATCTAGACCAAGCTACAAACTGGTTGGTGCTGAGTAGAATATGGTAGAGGTACTAGCCGCGATACAGCGTGAAGATGTGTAAAAATATCAGATTTTCGGGAGTCATTCGATTGCGTCTCGTTTCAACTTTTTATACCTTTTCAGTATGTCGTTGCGTCCACAAGTCGGATAGGTAAATTATTTTTTCTTACCTTTTTATGTTCCGATTGCGTCCTGTTGTATGATATATAAGCATAACATTTTGTAAAACGAATAGTCATTATTAATAATTATTTTAATAATAATAATTATACAAAAACCAATAAAAATAAATCCAAATATGTAAGAATAAATAATTTAAAAAACGATATTTAAACTTATCAATTATACAGATTTCCTTATTTTTTTCACTAAAAATGGTATTCATTATTAAGTCTGAACTTTAAAGTATCTTTCGATTCTAAGGCACCTGACGTACTAAATCGCTACGTGATCGTAAATCGATAAGAGCCTTAAGATTAAATGTTCGTAAACTCATCAAGTAAAAACCAATTCGTGTTTAAATTTATCTCCACACCGTGTATGACATAAATATTAGATTTAATATGTCAATTTATCTGTCACATTAACGCTTACCTACTATACAATAGGATGCAATCGGAACACGGAAAAAGTGGGCAAAAAATCGTTTACCTGCATCTGGGACGTAATCGACGAACTCCGAGATTTTCATCATGAGCAATATCTTTCTTTCATAAGACCTAGCTATAGGGAATGTATAACAGGTTTTCTAGGTTTAGTCTAGAAATATGAAAAATGTTTAAGTTACGTTTACAATTATTATAAATACATTTTTACATCATCATATCATAATATTTAAATAATTAGTTTTAATAAAAATTACTTGATAATAGTTTTTCTTGTTTTAATGTTATAAATATAGGTTGGATTTATAATATTCTCTTAAAATCTCTAAAATATGTTTTTATGTCCAAAGGCGTGCTTAGGATCAAAATGTAGGATAGCCTGGTTATAATTATTTTAGTTTATATAATATGTACATAATACACTTAGAAGTTGAGGTAACATTTAATTTTAACATTTTCGTTTGTGGTTGATCTATTGTACTAGTACTATCATTATCGTTCAATGCCCTTGTGGATTTCAGAATAGGTTTAAAAAAATTGGCTAATCATATTTTTATTTTTATTTAATTATTAGTCAAGTTATATAACCAATATAAAATAAAAAAGTACTTAGGTTATTATATTAGTGTACATAAACAAAAACAGATAAAACGATTGCCTCGATCGGCTCGGTTACACACAAGTCACTATAATACGTCTACACAGTACACACTACACACTGTAATAGACTACTAAATTATTAATACTAAAAATAACATATTTTATATACCATATTCATTATCTTATATCAAATTACCATTATCGGCAGTAAACGGCCAGTGGGCAGTGACGAATGTATAAATAACTCATTTCGGTAATCGGGTGGATTATTATTGTCTATTATTTACTATTTTTATTCATACATTTTAGCTAATAAGCAGTACTGTGGCTACAATAATTGTTTGCGACGAAGGAAAGAATTAATAATAATTAATAACGTATAAAAACGTATAAACGCTTGCTGTAAGTGGGATAATGAATAAATAAATATTTGTTACAAAATGATTCAATTACATATCGTATTATGAAGAAAAGAATGGTTGACGGTCACTTTGTACAGTCAGGCATTAAAAGTGCGAAACGCGGACACTTAATATGATCTGGTAAAAAGATACATTGCAGAACGCGGACACTTTGTACTATTATAGTATACATAAAGTATATATTATAAATATAAGTTTTATACCTAAATAGTAACTAGTAATTATGTATAGGTAGTGTTAATTATTAAAATAGAAAAAATAAAAATAAAATTGTTATAAAATATTGTTTAATAATAATAATAATAATAATCTAAATAATCAATAATATTATTCTATCGTCAAACTACATATAAAAATGTGTACAATATAAATATCAAAAACATCAAAAAAATGTCAAAAGTAGTATAATATAAAATAGTATTTAGATGTAATGGTTTTAAATTATTAGCTAATAAAATAAAAATAAAATAGTATAATATAGAAATATATCAAATATGCAAAACAATTAGACGAATGTAGCAATAGACTTCAGAAAAGACAAATCTTGTACGGCTGACAATAATAAACTATTTAATTTATGTAACCAGCATCAAGAAAGAATTAACAAATATTGAATTTTAAATTCTTATACTTTCCATGTAGTTTTTAACTATTATTTCAGTACTATATATTTTTATTTTTGTCATTTGACATATTTTATATTATACTATTTTTATTTTATTTTATTAGCTAATAATCTAAAACCATTACATCTAAATACTATTTTTATATTATACTACTTTTTGACATTTTTTTTTTGTTTTTGATATTTATATTGTACACATTTTTACATGTAGTTTGATGATAGAATGATATTATTGATTATTTAGATTATTATTATTATTATTATTATTATTATAATTCATGTTACATTCGAGTAGCATTGGCCGTTCTGCCAATAAGTGCTCTTGACGCTCTTTTAGCATTATGATGAATTGGCAACTTACACAAAATTAAACTCAGTTTTTTTTTTTTTTTTTTTTAATGTGTTCTTTATGCTCATGCGAATGTCCAATAAAGTTTATAAATATGTATATATATATATATATATATATTTATAGTTATTTTGAGGTGTAAATTGTATACTTATATGCGGCGTAAAAAATAACATAGATACCTACTGTTGACATACTCGTAGAAACCGATACACATACTTATTTTAAAGCGTTATATTATCCAAACTTATTTTTAATATTTTTTTAACTTAATAGTTATTTTTATTAACAAAAGTGGTACTAATACCTTCAGCAGAAAAATTGTTTTTTATTATTATATTAAAGTATAAAATTATGACGGATAGAGTTGATAATTTATATTTGTCCCGTAAAAATATTATAAGTGCCTTGGAAGTTAACTTTGATTCTAAATTTTAATTTTAAAATTATATTGATCGATTAAACAACAAATCACTTATAAAATTAGATTAATAAAACGTACGTGTACACATTTTAATGATTCTTCAACCTTAACATTTTTATATTATTCTTTTGTTAATTGTTAGGTCTAAAGTTAAATATGCATCCTCAATCTGACACACATATAGTATTCTAAAAATCAATGTTTAACATCTATTCAAAACAATTTTTTAAGATATTTATGCTATAAAATATGTGGTATTTAACAAAATCATTCAGAATATTATAATTTAAACTATAATTTTAAAATAAAATAATTAACAAAATAATATTAACATTAAAAATAAATACCTCGGCGTCAACATTTTTCCAATTTCATTGTTTTCGATGTTTGCATTAATTGTGTTTGAACTGTTTTCGGAATCTGGCGTTTCAGTTTCAACGGTGTTTTGTATTTTGGATTGAATTATAGGTATCTGAAACTGTCTGCACAAATTGTTGGTAAACATATTCATATGCTCTCAATAAATTAAATTCATTTTTTTGAAACGAGGATCTCTAATTGTAGTTCTACATTAACTAAAGTACACTAATAATGTTTTTAATTAAAAATACTTAAGTAGATGATATCTATTTTAAATTTTTTTTTTTTTTGTTAAGTATTAATAAAAAAATATATAATATTATAAGCCTGCCAAGTCATAAACTAATAACTAATGAATCATAATTCATGATTATGCAATATATTATAGTTTCAAGATTATATTTTAAGGATTTTTTTAAATACCTATTATTTATTTTAAACTAATAATTTATTATATTTTATTTTTGGATCTAGAATTTAAAGATGAATTCGATTAACTAAATTTAAGCTTTGTTTTAAGACGAATTGAGGAAAAAGATTTAAGAGATTTCTTTCAACATTCCAAATTCTCGAAGTTGCGAATTTCGGCTGTTTCAGTTAAAACATTTATTCTTGTTACTTCATATGAGGTTTAAGATATCTCCGTTGTAAATTTCTCAAAACTATCAATAACCAATAGATTTGAATTTATTATTTCCTCCCAAAAATGATTTGGCTTAATTACTTAAATAAACAAGAACTATTTGATTTTTAAATTATTGTAACGTTGATTTTAATAGTACAGCTTCATTTATTGAACTTAAAAAATTTTTGATAACATTATAAAATAATTACAAAACCATATAAATGACGAACTTGATAAATCAAACGAACATAACATGAACAAACATTTACTGAAAATGACATAAAAACCGTGTTATAACCTCTAAATAATAATACTTTGAACTCTAGCGATAAAATTACGTTTTTAAGTAATAT